CTTAAACTATTCAATTAACCCTTTAGAGCCGAAGCTATTAGTATTCATTTAAAAACGTATTATCCTTCATCACTACATCAATTTACAAGATGGCCGACAAATTAGAAAATGGCGGATACGTTTGACAAATTTGATTGGAAATTGAGTACATTAACCCATATTTCATAAACAATGGCGAAATTTGACAGCCGATAACTAACTCGGTACGGTTTCTACCAGTTTTTCATCAGAGGTTTGGAATTAACCCTGGTGATTGATTGCCTCTATACCATATGTACAATTACCGCTCCCTAGTGTGGCGGTGTCAATTCAATTTAACCCCCCGTTCCAGATGTCCCGAGTGAGCTAAGATAACTTACTTCAATTCTCCATAATTTTATTATCGACGTTATAATATTTCGCCTTCAATTCCCTAATAAACGCAAACACAATCTGATCGCTTTTAAAAAAAAATATACTAGAAATTTCCATCATTGCAGACTTCCTGGCGACCACCATCCCGTTACTTGATAATTTTACTATATGTTTCTATAAAGATACTAGAAAGATTTCCTGCATTGCACAATGCATGGCGTTATCTTGTTTGATAAGGTCCATAAAAGTAGGATGCGAATGTTTATTTTATTGTTAAAACTTTGCCTTATTGCACACTGTATGGCATAACCAGTCTTTATAAAAGGAAAAACGTGAAATTCCCGATTTATTTCAAAACGATTTTGAAATCGGGATAACGCGTTATCAAAAGCTCGAATTAAAAAGGCTATACTGTTCAACCAGGTATAGGCCCGTATCATATTTATTTTGTATTCATGCCAACTTAGGACGCCTTCATTTACCAGGCTGCGTGCAAACTCTTGCAGTTCTTCGTGGTGAATGCTTTGATTTAAAACTGCAGGTTGTTGGTCTTGAGTCTGCCAAAAGAGCAGATTAACCTCGTTTTGAATTTTCTGTTCAGCAGTTAATGGCTTTAATGTATTTAATTTGATAAAAAACGGAGGCTAAAAAATTGTTCACGAAGCGTCGGTAATAAAGATGAAAAAACAACATGGCGAGCACGAGTTGAAAAAATCGTTTATTATAGGATCGTATAAATTGCATTATTTACAAATTTCATTTAATTATTATAACTGATTCACCGGGACTACGGGAGCAGCTCCGCACAAAATGACGTTTCGCGCCATCCATGGCGAGATTGACGCCAGAGTCAGACGCGCGTTTCTGTTCCGTCTCCACGGGGGCTGTCTCCGTATAGTTTGAATTCGTTTAACGGCACAGCATCACCTCATCGTTTCTATTGCCCGACCCCATTTGAATAACTCCCGATGCAAATTTGATTTTCCACCCCAACGACTTTTGTGAGAGAAAAATATTAAGTTACAACCATAACAAGACGGCTATCGTTTCACACAGGGATACGCTTTTTAGCTCTCTTTATAGTAAGGTGAAAAGAGGTCCGTATTCCACGGTCAATTCTTTAAGGCTTTCTTTTCACAGCAAAGTGAGCACCATCCATCAAACTCATTGAAGTAGATGGGGCAAATTTTACCCGTGTTGCATTTAAAGGGGTTTTGATACGCTAAAGATCATAATGTCAGAAAGGACATTTATACCATGTGGACTCTCTGAATTAATAAACTAGAATATCAAATAAATATTTTTAGCGATATGGACTCTCTTAATTTCGGAAATGGAAGCAGGAGCGTCATTTTTTTTACATAAAAATTCGGAAGATTGAAGGCCTTCTCTCAAAATGTACAGATATATCTTAGATTGAAAGTTCTGGGCGAATGATTCATCAAGTTTTGCGAGTTAGTCAATCTTCAGCCCTTGATACGCAAGACCTGTATTCAATTCAGTCTAATAACAACTATTATGTCATCTACTTCTAATTAGCGTTTGGGAAATGGAAATATTGCCTTCTGATTGGTTGAAATGCCAACAATTGCCAAATACCGAAATGCACGTGCAAATGACCCACATTTGTTACAGTACTGCCAGAATTGAACTTCAAAATACACGGTTTAAATGTATGTCATTTCTCTTAGAATTTTTTCGGTCTGTCAACTTTTAGCTTTGTGTAAAACGAACACACTTTCCTTTTAGAAAATGCACGTGCAAATGACGTATATTGGTAGGTAGTAGATAGTTTGTGTTTACGTTTGGGATCGAGCCTTGGTGTGCATAAATATTTTAGAAAGATTTTACCTGACAGCGGCGTTTAAACTTTAGAACCATGTCGGTGAATGTCAATCAAATCACCCAAACTGTATTTTAATTGAATTTCTTCTATTTATTTGATAACATTTATTCCATTTCTCCATCTATTGTGTTTCTTTGATTGCCTCAGTATGGTTTGGTTGTATTTGATTGTCCCTTATTAATTTCCCGGATTGTTTAGATGGGTGTGTTTGATTGTATCGGCACGACGGTCAGAGGAGCAAAATTTTCAATCATACAAAAACAACACGACCTTGAACTTTTGAAGTCAGCGCAAAATTTAAATTATATTGACGTATATTTTTATGAACAATGTTTCAATAGTCTTTATCAAGCAATGAATAATATTACAAAGATTAACAAGCATATATATAAACGTCGCTCAAATAAAGTTAGTAATTGTAATCCAGAAGAATTTTTTCATTATATCCAACACCATTACTAAATGCCATTCAAAGATCAAATGTTTCATTAATTTCCTACTGAACAATATTCTCGTTTTGCTTTCGATCAGTGAGTTGCCTTGCTTTGCTCGATCATAAAGTCTTATAGTCCTACTTAAAAATTTCTAGAACTAGCTGTTCTAGCGAGGATGCTGAATCCGAAACCAGTAGTGGCCCCACACTCCTAAGACTAGGGGTACAAATAGTGGATAGGCAGACTGACTCAATGGGGGGGATAACCGGCGGGGCTGAATTCCAAATGCGGCTACTCCGTGGAAGCATCATAGACGAAATTTTGATTTGGTGATTTCTGATACCAAGCCCCTACCTCCCCCTCCCCACCCCCCACCTGTATCCCCATTGGCACCAACACCGTCTGAAACACGTGTCGGAAGTTTGAGATCATGGGATTGTTTCGGTTATGGACATATGGCTGTAAGACTGGCCCCGTTAAAACCAATCAAAAATGGCGTCTGACATATACAAATCTGGCTAACATAACGTCACTCAGTGGTCGGATTGGGTCACGTACAAATTACATTAGAAATAAACATCCGCCACGAATCAATACATCATTTCCAGAAAATAGACCGTTATTGTCCGAGTCTCGTGCAATCGTGCATTCCAACTGCGAATCATAACATGTCGCTCCGTAGTCTTTGATGCCCAGACCTCTTCCGTCTACGACGAGGATACCGGAGACAAAGAGGGACTTGATGATAGAGACTAATCGCTCCGAATAAATTTCATGTGCACGTGAGGAACATATATCGGCGCCCCCTAGTGAGAGGAAATGATTGGCTAACGAGAAGCGACCAGTGGCGCTAACTTCGGTGTGATTCAAATTTGGGATTGCTTTCACAACAGGACACGAAATAATAATTGAAAAATTGAAACATAAAATGTTACTAAAGTTTAAATTTTCATCAATGTGCAATTTCTAGAATTATTTTCAAATTATTTCTTCGTTAAAGTTTCCTCCTTTGTTTCTAGTTAGAAGAAGATGGGGAGGGGCGATTTTGGTAATTTCATTCCAAAGCCAGTAAACCGGACACCCAAAATTACAGGAACCGCAACGATATATAGCAACACATGTATAAGAATTAAGGGAAATGATTCACGCTGTTTTGCAGACCAAATCGGAAAAGTTCCCATACTGTGATTTCCTAAACTAATTCAACAAGACAAAAACAAATTCGGTGACCGCACTTATCGACTTCTTAATTCGAACTAAAAATGTCAAAATTTTAGCAAGAAATTGCGAGAAGAGTTAATGTCGCCCTATCAAATTTGAATCAAGTTTCCCCTTTCATTCAACGGCCATAAATCGGGATGATATGTATATCAAACTTGTTGGTTGTTTTGTGAGGTGTCACTCTGTTGAGGAGCGAACAGGACCCATTCGTGATCAAATCCGTTTGGGACAATTTTCGTCGGGGAACAAGAACTTCGTCCGCCACTTTGGATGATGATAATTCCATTCTTGGACAAATCTTGAGGGGATTTCCCGATAAGGAACAAAAAGCCCGTAAGGAATATTTAACTCTTGAAAGCTTGCAAAGCGAACTACTGGTGGTGCATGATTAGCGAAGCCTCTTTTTTGGGACAAAATGGCTCTATCGTGACCAAACTGGAATACTTGAATGCTTACAAGACGAACTAATAGAGGTGTAAGCTTAATAAAGCCTAATTTTTGGGACAAAATGGCACTGTACCACGACCAAGCCGAGATTCTTGATTGAGTGCAATGGCGAACAACTAGTGTGAGGTCCCAGATAAAATCAAACTCGAAACAACTAAGCGTTGTAATGGAAAATTGAAGTTTAGGTTGAGGCTTTGTGAAAGGTATTAAAGCGAGTCTATCTGCGTGACCATCTCAACTCCTCGACAAGTCTCGAGTTTAAAAACCTGTTTTAACAATGTTAATATTTTGACGGTGTAATTTAGAAAGATCTGGGACGGGCGATTACATTTTATGGGTATACCTCCCTGACAAGTGGTCGTAACTGATACGAACATAACAAAAATATATTTGAGTGCATGAATATGGGGCCGTTACACGATGAATGATCGCGTACGCATCCAGCTTAATTGGATGCCATGGGGGGCCCGTCCTACCTCTGTGCTCCGTTCTGGCAAACTTTCCCTCCGGTTCCATCACATGTGTTGTAGTTGTACGTCTTCATTAGTCAAAACAGAAGCAGAAATGTAGGAAGTAAAACTCCATTCATTTTGCACACGTCCTGAAGTTGTTATTTTTTAAGGGCCCTGGTTTTGGGGATTGTTTTAATTCCGTCCAAAATAAAGAAAGGAGCAACATATCTGTAAAAATGAAATTTATTTTAAACAGACGACGCAGGTCAGCAAAGCATCATCTTCATATGGAGGACAGGCCAGCGATCCACATCTAGCACGTACCGTATACAGGAGCTTTCCATCATGATTGTTATCGTCTCCTTTCTCGGGTTTACTATCTAGGCAAATATATTCAGAAGGACCATCGTGATAAGCGTGTCCGCTGGCTAGTTCACCATGATAAGCTTCGCTCCATCCTGGGTAGCATTCGTCCCTACCAGGTATCATTAGGGCCATAGAGTAACCCGGTGCTTCGCAGACGACACACAGGGCTGAATAGTCATCTAAGCTTGCATCGGGAAGGATCTCATATTCTCCGCCATACACGAATCCTCCCTTAGCGACGGTCAATAATTTGTTTTTGTTCCACGTCGGGTCTTCCGGTAAACAGATGTAATTCGCCGCACCGCCGTCGTGGTTGTAATACGACCCTCCGATGAAGCCTGCAATGGAAAGAAGATCCATGAGTTCATCATGGGCAAATTTTGTTTTTGCTGGATAAATTGATGTAAAACCATATTGAACTGATGAGTTTCGAACCCACGGCTAAGAGCTACTAGGAGATATGTTAAAACGGGTACGAGAATTTATATAACTTTGAGACTCAAGGGTTGCACATTGAAACCGACTCTCACTACCCTTCAGTGATAAATATTGTTGAAAAATAGACGATGCTACATATGCGAGACTTACTGACTTGCTGAATCAAAGGTCTACATGTGGAAGACTCAAATACCCTTGTAGCATCAATGCGGACATACCTCTGTAAACATGCGAGGTATTGTTGGGACACTCCGTCCTACCCCATCTGATAAACGATGTGCTCGTGATCTGCCTTTGGTGGTATTCCTCGTGACGGACCTCGTCATCGTGAATTTTAGATTTCTCACCTTCCTCTATTTTACCTGGAATTAAATGAAATGGAGTTTTATATCCTACTGTTCTGTATCTTATTAGACTAATGAAATGAAATGGAGTTTTATATCCTACTGTTCTGTATCTTATTGGACTAATGAAATGAAATAGAGTTTTATATCCTACTGTTCTGTATCTTATTGGACTAATGAAATGAAATGGAGTTTTATATCTTACTGTTCTGTATCTTATTGGCCTAATGAAATAAAATAGGGTTTTATATTCTGTTCTGTTTCTAGCTAATGAAATGAAACCGAACCGAAATTTAAGTTCTATTCTCGTATTACAACAAAAATTCAGACGACATTGATCTTACCTGTGACGGGATCTGCTGTCCAATCCATCTTCTTTCCACTTAATTTTAAAACTTCCATTTTCAAGTCACACAGCTCTGACTTCTGCTCTAAGATTTTCTTGTCCTGTTCGGTGAGCTGCACCTTCATTTCCATGAGCTTCAATTGTACGTCTGAATTCACCTCAGTGGCTTCTGTTTTTCCCGTCACATCATATAGAATTGCCGCTTGGAACCCAGATGCACACAAAACGACCAAAATCGAACGCAGAATAAAATTCTTCATTTTAAAACACCGTTCAATCAAAACACAAAACTGAAGATACGAGTTATATCTACATCCCAAATAAAATATCAATAGAAAATTTCGAAATATTGTGTTGTCGTGATAAGCCTATTATAACTTCCGGTCTACATCCGAATCATTTTAAGTCTCGAAGGTCAAGAGGTAGCTAGTCAATATAAATGTTTATGACTTCCGGTGTACATTCGTATGATGCAGCCGTGAGTTTTCAGTAATAATAACCAGTTCGTAGAGTCACCTATTTGCTAGTTACCCTCGTCAATATCACTACGCTTTTTTCCAGCCAATCAAAATCAATCTTCAGACAGAGTTATCTACTCTTGCCAATTTATCTGGCAAAATATCAGCCTTTAATGGCCGAGTCAATGTTCAACTCACAGAAACTAACGAACATTGGCGAAGGTTGAGCTGAATGCTATGTCATCAATTAAGATTTTAAATAAGGTCAAGAACATTCAAGAGTTTTATGTTCACTTATTTCGCAACTATGGTCTCAAATGATCGACGTAACAAACAAGGAGCGAGAAGCCATGGTGGTCTACTAACCCCTTCTCTTCGGGGAGCTATGACGAAATGCAGAAATTAATATAATTATATTGCCCGCTCAATGTCCGCTGCCCCATTCATTTTCGTTACCAACCCAAACCCTGTAGCTGTATCACTTTTCAGAGTGAAAGTCTGACTTCTAGTTTGTCTACAAATAAGATAAGCGAATTGCTTTCACATGTGGAAGTGACGATAGTGTACGTTTTAAAGACAAAGTTTTGACAAACCAATATTCTCAATTTTTACGACACAAACCTCAATAGTTCCTCTCTTTTTGATTGCAGGCGAACCTGAAGTTGAATTTTCAAGTATGAAAAGTATAGACAGCAATATATCTTACAAGTATATAGGTTCAAAGCGTATAGTAGTATAATAACAAGCGATATTTCAAAACATAAGTCCTATTTGACTTGTGCCCAATTTTAAAATGTAATGTTTCGTTTCATGTCAGATATATTTTAAGGGAGTCGTGGTCCTTATTTTTAGGTAACACGTGTGAGGTGTAGGGTTCGAGTTTCAACACACCTGCGATCTCGTCGTATCACCTTTCTTCAGCAATTTTACGACAATCAACTGAGTGTTATGTTGTCACGCAATTTATACCGATTTGAGCTGACTCGCGATTACAACAGTCTCTTTTTGCCCTCTTTTTGATCGTGGCATCCACATATCCCGAATCAATGACACACTGTTAACTTATTTTTAACTATGTGGTCTTCCGAATATCTCTTAATTCTAAATTGAAGCGAATTGCATGTGAGCTCGCTATTTAATTCGGTGCCCCTTCCCGCAAAGTCCCAGCCCAACAACTCACCCATCCACCACCTGAGGCTTCATAAAAACGCCACTGATATAGTCACACGGTAGTCTCATACATCTTCTAAGCTGACAGTTGGAACATTCCGACCAACCCTCTAATCAAACGACTACAATAGTTCAAAATATTACAAATGTTTCAAAAGGGACCACCTGATCGAGACGTAATCGCGTATATCAAGTCAGTGGAGTGGCATGGGGCAACAGAATTGCCAAGTGGGGTACCACCGGTCGGTAGAGAGCTCTATTTTTAATGAAAATTTTTAAACTGGAGGGGGGAGGGGGGATGCCGAGTTTACCGACCAAAATAAATACCTAATTTACGCCGTTAGCTAGCTATGTGGACTCTCTGAAAGCGATGCTTAATTCACACACCTACATTACGAATTTTGTGAAGAGGTGTTGACAAACCTTACCGCAAAGTGGTATACGTGTATGACCCACCTTTCTCAGTCGGAATGCCATAACCAATGTAATATATGCAGTGGTCAATTACACTGTAGATTAAGACGACATTTTAATGTTGAATTAAGCATGCCTAACATCTGGTGGCCGGACATCGTTCAGTATCCAGCAGTCTTAGGGAAAATATTATATAATTGGTGTGCTATAAAATTTTTAATTGAGATTTTGGCCCCATCGTGCATTCTTGCTGTTAAAGGAATTGTAAAAGGTTATCTAAACTTTTATGTGTGTCGGGGACATGGAAAGCTCAAATTGTACCATTCCAATTTTCAATCAGACGTATGTGGTTCCTGCAATACAATTTACAAGTAACACTTATATTATGGGTGTTTTATGACGTCACTATCGCAAGGGCATCTTGCATTTTCCGGCAGCTTTTGCGATAATGACGTCATAAAACGCTTAGTGTTGGCGGAATTGCAAGAACGTCTGACTAAATATCAGAATAGTGCGAATCGATGCTATCTGTGTCCCCAATACACATAACAAGTTTAGAAAAATTCTTAATCTCTTTAATCGGCCTTTCTGTATCCGTTTCTCTACATATTTCCAACTTTTTCAAACTCAAATATCTCCGTTTGATGGATTTTTGAAGGAATTGTGGGATTTTGGTACATTTCGAATACTATCGAAGACTAATTTACATTTACTCAAGACTCAAATCAACTCTCTTTAAGGCTATGCTATAATACTATACACTCCCTTAGCCTAAAATGCCCAAGCGAATAAAACTGCTTGATTTCAAACCAATGAAGCGCATGAAATACACATAAGTAATCAAATCCAACCGAGACGAAAATCATAAATGGCTTTATTACCCATAGAGCAATTGTCATACGAGCATGCGTAGACGCCAGCAAAACAAAGCAATATTGGTTTTATGGTCTTTTAAATGTCCAATAAACCAGAGAATAAAGGACTTTATTTTATTTTTCTCATTGTTTACCATCAATAACCTCCTATCTCCCATTCCTCACAGTTAATTCACATAAATTGCCTAACAATTCAATAAGTTAATTTTCGAGTGGTTACGGCGCCATGCAACCTGATGAAGTCATTGGACCTAATTAATTGCCCTTAGGATGAAAAAGAGTGGCAAGATGATGCTATTAATGCGACAAAAGACAATCTTAAATTTGTTTACAAACCCTGAAGAAAGGATTTAAACGATTAAAAGTAGGGTATCGTCAACAAACGCCACGCTTCGTTGAAAAGGCAAAATGGCTGACGCCTTCCCGCCATTGTTCATTACGTCATGTCACGTCAACGCACATTTAGTCTCGCGAGACCGAAATTAAATTTTAAATGCTTTGTAAGTTAGATTAAACAAAGTCATTAAAAACTAATAGAAATTTTCAAAGACTGAAACGAATCACTTACTTGAAATGGTGTTTTGCGTCGTACTTACCATATTTGGTGTTTGAATAGTGTCGAGGGATCTTGAACAAGGACAAGTAGGCTATACATTCTTTCTATCTCAGTTCCCTCTACCTGCAAAATAAACCAATTTCATATGAATTCATTCCAAAGCAACCGATGCCTCTTTGCGCTTGGGTTTGTCAACTCTGCATCCATTATGAGGAGCTATTTTTGTATGGAAGTGTCACGGTTTTCAGGGGTATACGCTCCTTTAAACCCACCACTATTGGTTAGATATAAAAATTAAAGGATGATGACCGCCTGCTGTTTTATATCTATTAATCCCATTAAAACTATATGCGTAAAAAATGGGTAGAATTTAAGGTTGGTTCGATTTACCATCCTTATTTCAACCATCTGAAAATTCAACCTTTTATACTTCTTGTTGCCTTAAAGGGGTTGAATTTGAGTTTCCCCTGTCTCGCTTTTCAAAATCCTGATAAAGAGCGTTGGGAACTACACGAAGTCATTTGCATGGTTACGTCGAACAAATGGTGGTCGTGGTATCTAATCTTAGGCGGCTTGTAAAAGTCCAGTGATCTTGAATAAGTTAGCTTTTTCTCATTCATTCTCAAA